CGGGAACACCATGCTGAACCCAGAACGTGGCACGGTCTGAAGCACCATCTGACCTGGGAGTGCGACTTACGTTGAGACGACGGCACTTCTCACATCCTTGGCAATGTATTTCGGCCGGCCATCAGGAGCTGCCCATGCACTGCTGCCTCCGAAAATCCGAGCCTCCCGCCCCAAGAGGCCCGCAGGAGGCCCCAAGGAGCCCCTCAGAAGCCCCCAAAAGGCCACAAGAGACCCCCACGAGGCCACGAGGACGCCCCAGGACGCCCCCAAGAGGCCATAAAAGAAACCCCACGAGGCCACGAGGACGCCCCAGGACGCCCCCAAACGGCCCCCAAGAGGCCCCAAAGCGGCCCCCCAAAAAACCTACGAGAAGCCTCCCGCGACATTTCAACGTACGTCCTGAAGGCTTACGCCCCACAACCAAGGCACGGTGGCGGGATAGGCCGGAGGCCATTCGATCCGCCGCCCCCTGTCGATTCATCGTAGGGGTGCCTGGCGTGCCGAACTATATGGCTTTTGGTTTTGGTTCTTTTTCCAAAAGAACTCCCTCTGGGGCTTCGGCCCGTCCCGCTGGCCACCCGGAGACCTGGTTGCTAACGGTTTTCCTGCCCTAGATGGCCCCAAGATGGCCCAAGATGCCTTCCATGACGGCTAAGATGGTCCAGGTATGCCTTCAAGACGGCCCAAGATGCACCCAAGACGGCCTAAGATAGCTTGAAGATGGCCCAAGACGGCCCAAGAGGCCACCAAGAGGCCTCCAAGACGGCCTAAGAGGCCTCCAAGAGGTCCTCCAGGAAGGCCCGAAGAGGCCAAAATCATTGATTTTCCAATGTTTTTGAAGGATTTTTGCATTTGCGCCTTTTCGGCTTTCCGACGGCCCCAGACGGCCCAAGAGGCTCCCAAGATTGCCCAAGAGGCCTCCAAGAGGGCCCCATGACGGCGCAAGTGGCCTCCAAGACGGCCCCAAAAGGGCCCCAAGACGGCCCAAGAGGCCTCCAACACGCCCAAGATGGCCTCCAAGACGCCCAAGATGGCCTCCAAGACGGCCCCGAAGCGCCCCAAGAGGGCCCCAAGTCGGCCCAGAAAGGCCCCCAAGACGGCTCAGACGGCGTCAATCGTGCCAGGAACCCACCAAGATGGCCGAAGTTGGCTCGAAGCTGGCCCACGACTGCCCAAGAGGCCCCCAAGAGGGCCTCCAGGAAGGCCAGAAGAGACCAACCACCTTGATTGTCCTACAGTGTTTGACGGATTCTGACATTTGCTTCTTTTCGGCCTTCCCACGACCCGAGACGACCCAAGAGCCCCCAAAGATCGCCGAAAGATCGCACAAGAGGCCTCCAAGATGGCCCCAGAACGGCCCAAGAGGCCTTTAAGCCGCCCAAGATGGCCTCCAAGACGGCCCTGGAGCATTCCAAGAGGGCCCCAGGTCGGCCCATTAGAGGCTCCCCAAACGGCTTCCGACGGCGTCAGACGGACCAGGAGCACACCAAGACGGCCGAACATGACCCTAAGATGGCCCAAGACGGCCCAAGAGGCCTCCAAGAGGGCCTCCAGGAAGGCCCGAAAAGGCAAAAATCCTTGATGTCCCATGGGTTTTTGGAGGATTGTGGCATTTGCGCTGTTTCGGCCTTCCGACGGCCCGAGACGGCCCAAGTGCCCCCAAAGATCGCCCAAGAGGCCCAACACACGGCCCCAAGAGGCCCCCAAGACGGCCCAAGAGGCCTCCAAGACGCTCAAGATGGCCTCCAAGACGGCCAAAGAGCCCTCCAAGACGTCCTCCACGAAGGCCCGAAAGGGTCAACATGGCCTCCAGGCGGCCAAGATGACCTTCAAGATGCCCACGTGTTCCCGAAGGCTTTCCAAACCGATTCGGGGAACACATGGTCCGATAGCTTGGCAGGTCTGGCCTCAACGTTCGGCCACATAGGCGCTTCCAAAAAGGCAGGGGGCGGCGGTGATTCGCCGTAGGCGTCTTCGATCCGCCGCCCCCTGTTGCTTGCAAAAGGGGTGCCTGGCATGCTGAATCCTATCGTTTTTGGTTTTGGGGCTCCGGCGCGTCCCGCCGGCCACCCCAAAGGATGCCGAAAATTTGCCCGGACTCGGCTCCAAAGGGTTCTTCCTGGTCCAGACGGCTCCACGACGGCCCAAGATGGCCTCGAAGATGCATCCCAGACGGCCTAGATGGCCTCCAAGACGGCTGAGATGGCCCCAAGATGCCTTCAAGACGGCCCAAGATGTACCCAAGATGGCGTAAGATAGCCTCAAGATGGCCCAAGACGGCATACGGCCCAAGAGGCCTCCAAGAGGTGCTCCAGGAGGGCCCGCAGAGGCCAACAGATGGCCTCCAAGACGGCCTCCAAGACGCCCAAGCTGGCCTCCAAGACGGCACAAGATGTACCCAAGATGGCGTAAGATCGCCTCAATATGGCCCAAGACGGCCCAAGAGGCCTCAATACGCCCCAAGAGGCCTCCAAGAGGTGCGCGGCCAAAATCATGGATTTTTCTTCGGTAGTTTTAAAGATTTGGGCATTTGCCTCTTCTCGGCATTCCGACGGCTCGAGACGGCCCAAGAGGCCGCCAAGATCGCCAAGAGGCCTGCACAAGAGGCCTCCAAGAGGAATTTTCAGGAGGGCCTGAAGAGGCCAAACTCATGGATTGTTCTTCGGTTTTTGAAGGATTTGGGCATTTGCCTCCTTTTGGCACTTTGATGGCTTAAGATGGCTCAAAAGGCCGCTAAGATTGCCTTAAGGTCGCTCATGAGGCCTCCAAGAGGGCCTTATGACGGCCCACGAGGCCTCCAAGACGGCCCCAAGAGGGCCCCAAGACGGCCCAAGAGGCATCCAAGACGCCCAAGGTGGCCTCCAAGACGGCCCCGAAGCGCCCCAAGAGGACCCCACCCCGGTTCAGAGAGGCCCCCCAAACGGCTCCCGACGGCGTCAGACGTGCCAGGAACCCACCAAGATGGCCGAACTTGGCTCGAAGCTGGCCCAAGACGGCCCAAGAGGCCTCCAAGAGAGCCTCCGGGAAAGCCGGAAAAAGGTAAAACAACACTGATGTTCCTAAGGTTTTTGAAGGATTTTGGCATTCGCTTCTTTTCGCCGTCCGACGGACCGAGACGGCCCAAGAGCCCCCAAAGATCGCCCAAAGGTCGCCAAAGAGGTCTCCAAGATGATTCCAGAACGGAGACCCCCAAGACGGCCCCAAGAGGTCCCCAAGACGGCCCAGGAGGCCTTTAAGACGCCCAAGATGGCCTCCAAGACGGCCCAAGATGTACCCAAGATGGCGTAAGATAGCCTCAAGACGGCCCAAGCCGGCCCCAGGCACCTCAATACGGCCCCAGAGGCCTCCAAGAGGTGCTCCAGGAGGGCAAACATCATTGATTGTTCTTAGGTTTTTGAAGGATTTCGGCATTTGCGCCTTTTCGGCTTTCCGACGGCTCAGGACGGCCCAAGAGGCCGCCAAGATAGCCCCACGATCGCCCACGTGGCCTCCAAGAGGACCCCTTGATGGCACGAGGTCCCCCAAGACGGCCCCAAGAGGGACCCGAGAGGCCCAAGAGACATCCAAGACGCGCAAGATGGCCTCCAAGACGGCCCCGAAGCGCCCCAAGAGGACCCCACCCCGGTTCAGAGAGGCCCCCAAGACGGCCCCCGACGGCGTCAGACGGGCCAGGAGCTCACCAAGATGGCCGAACTTGACTCGAAGCTGGCCCAAGACGGCCCGAGAGGGCTCCACTAGAGCCTCCAGGAAGGCCAGAAGGGCCAGAAACACTGATTGTCCTTAGATCTTTGAAGGATGTTGACATTTGCTTCTTGTCGGCCATCCGACGGCCCAAGAGCCCCCAAAGATCGCCCAAAGGTCGCCCAAGGACCGCCCAAGATGCATCCAAGATGGCCCCAGAAAGGCCCCAAGAGGCCCCCAAGACGGCCCCAAGAGGCCCCCAAGACGGCCCAGGAGGCTTTTAAGACGCCCAAGATGGCCTCCAAGACGGCCCAGGAAGCTTTTAAGACGCCCAAGATGGCCTCCAAGACGGCCCTGGAGCATTCCAGGAGGGCCCCAAGTCGGTTCAGAGAGGCCCCCCAAACGGCTCCCGACGGCGTCGGACGTGCCAGGAACCCACCAAGACGGCCGAAGATGGCACTAAGATGGCCCAAGACGGCCCAAGAGGCCTCCAAGAGGGCCTCCAGGAAGGCCAGACAAAGGCCAAAATCAGTGATTTCCCATGCGTGTTTGAAGGATTGTGGCATTTGCGTTTTTTTCTGCCTTCCGACGGCCCGAGACGACCCAAGTGCCCCCAAAGATCGCCCAAGAGGCCCAAGACGGCCCCAAGAGGCCCCCAAGACGGCCCAGGATGCTTTTAAGACGCCCAAGATGGCCTCCAAGACTGCCCAAGAGTCGTGCAAGACGTCCTCCACGAAGGCCCGAAAGGGTCAACATGGCCTCCAGGCGGCCAAGATGACCTTCTAAATACCCACGTGTTCCCCGAAGGCGTTTCAAACCGATTCGGGGAACACATGGTCCGATAGCTTGGCAGGTCTGGCCTCAACGTTCGGCCACATAGGCGCTTACAAGGGGCGGCGGTGATTCGCCGCGTCTTCGATATGTATATATATATATAGACATACATACATACATACATACATACATACATACATATATATATACGCATAGATAAGTAGAGAGCTAGATCGATAGGTATGTATATATGTATAGAGAGAGAGAGAGAGAGCGATACAGAGAGAGAGGGAGAGAAGCGGATGAAGATGGTGGAGGAGGAGGAGGAGGAGGACGCGATACAAACACATTACCAGCACGAGCAGGAGGAGCATCCCCCTAGACTACACCAGGATGCTGTAGAACGCCCCATGCCTCCTCAAATTAGCGAAAACCATCCTCCGTTCTCTCTCCTCCTCCTCACTCCTCCGCCTCTTCCTCCTGCCTTCTGCTCCTCTACCTTCTCCTCCTCCCTCATCGTTCTCCCTTCGCCCCCCCTTCACGTCCCAGCTGTCGACGTCGGCGGGCGCCCGCCAGTTGGCAGGCTCGGCCTCGGCATCGGCAGTGTATTCTTGAGGGGGAAGGAAGCGGCGGAGAGAAACCTTTCGAACGAAAAGGCAAGGGACGCAGCAAGGGAAAGCAAGCCACCGTCCCGCCCGCACCGTAAAGCGCCTGCCCAAAGCGGCACTTCAACCACCGCTCGAATATAGGGAATATGAGGAAAATGGATGAGGAGGGGTAGGACCAGTGTATCCACAAGACGCATCCAATGAAGCCTTCCTCAACATTCCCTGCTCATAGATCCCAGCAATATTTTTTCACTGCGGGAAATGCCCTGTTGGAAGACAACAGTCTGAGAACACTGTATCGTGCCACAACGCAATTCCTGGAACTTCAACGCCGCGAATCAACAGTACTGTTGCTTCCTGACAACCCTGAACCGTGCCAGAACACCGTCCCTGGGACATCGACGCCACGAATCAAAATGACTGCTGCAACCTAGCAGTCCTAAACCGTGACGGAACACCATTTCTGGGACGTCAGCCATGACAACTCTTGAAACTGCTAACGTTCTTATATTCCAAGACGAATGTGCGCGGTGGTACAGCTTGAAGAAGAATCGCACTCTAATTCTAAAACTCCTGCAAGCTCTTAACACGAATGCGCGCAACGCTAAGGCGAGAGACGCATTTTGAAAAAGAACCGCCATCCATCAACGAAACTGCTGCAATCTTTTACCACGAATGTGCGCGGCGCTATGGCGCCCGCCCTCCATCCGTGACGCCATCGATAATACGCAACGCTGGGGAGATAACAACATTTTAAAAACCACCCGCTCTCCATCCGTGAACTGTTTGAAACATCTGCAACTGCAAGATGGCCGACGGTGCAATAATCTCTTGCGACACACCCGGCCCGCCCTACTGACACGTCGCGGGTGCGACAGGGGAGAGTTACTTATAAGGGAAATGGATGCAGGAGGAGGGGAAGGAGTTCACATAGGGGTGTTGGAGCAGGAGAAGCAGGACTGGCAGAAGCAGGAGGGGACAGGAAAAGAGAAAAAGGAGGCTGATGAGGGGGCGAAAGAGGAAGACGAGGAGGAGCAAGAGGAGGCGCACAGCAAAGGGTCACAGGAGGATGGTGACGAGGACGACGGGGGTCCTGTGGCTAGTCTTGGTGCCAACTACAAGAGGGGGCCGCGGGGGCGTGGTCGTCACCTGCTCGCCGAAGAAATGCATCTACACGGCGGGCGCGCGTGGCCGGTCCAGAAGCCCGTCGGGGCTGGGGAAAAGGCGCCGACGAAGGACAATACGACGGACGCCACCGACAAAGCGGCGATGGCTGCGACCGATGAGCAGGGACGCGGGTCGGGCCATTTCGCCGAACGCGTTGGGCAATGCTGCAAAGAGATCGCCTGGTGAGAACGCAGCCGAAACAATTTGAGCCACAATGGTTACGGAAGGCTGGCTGGGGGCGTTCTTGGAGCCCTCTGAAGCTTTTATTGGTGCAAAGAACTAATACACCATACATTCATGATGTTAGCCAGCGTAGGCCCCAAACCGTGAGCTTCTAGCACTCGATGTTGTGGAATTTGAGTGGTGCGGTATACGTGGCGCAATGTATTTTGTGCAATCGATGTTGTGCCACACGCACATACATGTATGTATGTGTGTACGTATGTCTTTATGTATGTATGTATGTATGTATGCATGCATGTAGGTATGTTTGCTGTATCATATTGTTTTGTAACCTTTTGTGAGGCAGCCAATGTGGCGCAACCAGCGTGGATTAAGATGTGTGGGGCAATATACGTTGTGTAGTCTATAGTTTGTTCAATTTACGTGCTGCCATTTATGTGGTGCACTCTATGCGGTGCGCAATCTATGATGTGGAGAAATCGACGAGGTGCATTCTATGCGGTGCAACTGATTTTTACCCATGATTTGACACATACCACGCTCTTGCAAACATCCCACCCACCCACCCGCAACTTGGTTTGCAAAACCTCTTCAGACCGACTACGACGACACCGACGACAACGGCTACGACGACACCGACGACGTCTCCGACGACTTCGACGACGACAACGACGCCGACGCCGACGACGAAGACGACGACGACGCCGACGAAGACGACGACGAGGGAGGAGGAAGGACGACGACGACGACGACGACGATGGCGACAACGACGACAACGACGAAAGAGGAGGGAGGACGGCGACGACGCGAACGACGAAGAAGGAGGAAGGACGGCGACGCCGACGACGACAACGACGAGGGAGGAGGGCGGACGGCGACGACGCGAACGACGAAAAAGGAGGAAGGACGGCGACACCGACGACGACAACGACGAGGGAGGAGGGAAGACGACGACGAGACGACGACGACAACGACGACGACGACGGCGACGAAATAGGAGGGCCACTGCTCGCGCAATCATCCTGCCCACCCACCCGCAACTTGGTTTGCGAAACCCATGCGGGACCGAGCACAGATATCGCTCCCGGGTCGTCTTGGAGCCCTCGGGGCGTCTCAAGAGCGCCACAAGAAGGCCCGAGAAGCAAGACGGCCGACGACGACGACGACGACGACGACGACGACGGCGGCGACGACGACGACGCCGCCGTCGACGACGACGAAGACGACGACGCCGACGTCGACGACGACGACGAAGACGACGACGACGTCGCCAACGAAGACGACGAGGAGGGGGGAGGCAGGACGACGACGGTGACAACGACGACAACGACGACAACGACGACAACGAGGGAGGAGGGAGGACGGCGACGACGCGGACGACGAAGAAGGAGGAAGGACGGCGACGCCGACGACGACAACGACGAGGGAGGAGGGAAGACGACGACGAGGCGACGACGACAACGACGACGACGACGACGGCGACGAAATAGGAGGGACGACGACGAGACGCCGACGACGGACGACGACGACGACGACGAGGGAGGAGGAGGAAGGACGACCACGGCGACAACGACGACGGAAACGACCACGACGCCAAAGAGGACGACGACGACGAACACGAGGAAAGACACAGGACGACGTAGGCGACGACGACGACGACGCGGAAGGAGGGAGGACGGCGACGACGACGACGACGACGACGACGACGCCGCAAGAGCGCGCGCGCACGCTTTTGTTGACAATCCGTGTTGCGAAACCTGGTGTTTTTTGTAGGTTTTTTGGACGCGCGATCTTTAAATCCTTCTGAAACCGATGTGTTTTGAAGGATTTCGGCGTGCGCGCGCGACGACGCGCGCGTCTGCACTTCGTCCCACTTTTGGCAGAGGATTCTCGCGACGGCACACGCGCAAGAGCGTCCGACAGATTTCGACATGCGCGCGCGAAGCCCGTTTGATAGCAGTTTGCGAAAATCTGGAGAAAAAAAACAACATGGTTTCCTTAAGATTTCGCAAAACCTCGCGCGCAAGGATTTGTTAGCAAATCCGTGTTGCGAAACCATGTGTTTTTGTATGTTTTTGGGGAAGCTCGACTGCGAAATCCTTCCGACACCGAAGGTTTTTGAAGGATTTCGGCATGCGCGCGCGACGACGCGCGCGCGTGCACTTCGTCCGATTTGTTGCAAGGGATTCGCGAAAAAGTGCTATGTTAGAACAAACAATGTCACCGCATAGTGTTTTTTAAACAAGCAATGCGAAGACCAAAGGGGCAGGCGGCGGGGGGCGGGGGCGGGCGGGGGGGGGGGGCGGAGCGGGGGCGGAGAGGGGTAGATCCTGATATTCTCTTAGGAATAGAGACTACGCATTCGCGGTGCAGTCAACGCGGTGCCTCTAGTTGTTGTGTGCAATGAATTGTCAAGTTTATTGCTCGCGCAACCTCCCCGCCCGCCCACCCGCAGCTTGGCTCGCAAAACCCGCGGGGCGACTATTGCGATGGCTGCCTGGCGCTGGCCGGCGCGTCGCTGCGGCCGCGCTAGCGAGCGCGGGCTCGGGCGCAGAGCGGGCGGCTAGTCTGGCGCGACCGACGCGGCCGCGGTGGCGCTGACAACTGGGCGGTTCCCGGCGCGTTTCGGGGGCCGCGCTCGCGCGCGGGCGCTTCAGCGCGAGTCGGTGACGCGGGCGGGCGCGCTATCGTGGCGACGTCGACGACGGTGGGCGCGATGGCGATGGTAGCGACGATGATGGCGATGATGCCAATGACGACAGCAAGGCCACTGACGGCCCCGATGCTGATCGCGCCCGCGGCGATGATGGCGCCCTCGCGTCGGCGACGAAGGTTTTGCAAGGATCCCGGCGCGCGCGCGCGCGCGGCCGGCGCGCGCGCGAGTGGCCCGCGGCGGTTCGATTTAACAGGGGTCGCGCCCCCCCCGCCCCGCGCGCGCGAGAGGGCGTTCGAATGATTTCGACGCGCGCGCGAGAAGCCCGCGATGTCGCGCGCGATGAAAATGTCGGAACAACTATTTTTCGAAAACTGATGGTGCCGAACCATGCGTTGTTATGTCTTTGGGGCACTCGATTGCGATATTCTTGCGAGTGCTCCAAGTTCTCGGGGGGCGGAGGCGCGCGCGCGCGACGACGCGCGCGCCATTCGCCTCATTTCTCGCGAAGGATTATTGGGAACTGATGTTTTGTGATAAATGAGTCCGCGCGCGTCGCGGTCTGTCTTGCGCGGGGGGCGGCGCGGGGGGGGGTTGTCGAACCTGGCCTCGCTGAGGCGGTTTGAATTCGTGCTTGCTTGGAACGGGCAACGGGGCAGGATTGTGGCATGCACGTCGCGCGCCCCCGGAATGCGTCAAGCCAGGGGCGGGGGGGGGGGACATCCTAGATCCTTGCTTGCGAGGCAACCCTACGCGGCGCGATCTGCGCCGCGCGCTCCAGGCGGCGACGGGGCGGCGACGGCGAGCGCGGGGCCGGCGGGCCGACGCTCAAGGCCAGCTCCGCAAGCGCCAGAACCGCCCGGGCGACGGGCGGCGACGAGGCGGCGACGGGGCGGCGACGGCGAGCGCAGGGCCGCGGGGCCAACGTTCAGGGCCAGCTCCTGATAGGGGGGGCTGGAAACGCAGAGGGCAGAGCGGT